GCAGGTGCTGGAAGTCATGCCACGTTTGGAAGATGTCATCACCCACGGGAACTCAGCTCGGTCCGTGCAACGTAGAAAGTGGAGAAGGGGGCGCCCCTATGGTCCCAGTGTCAGGGTCGGGGCAGGCAAGGGCGTGGGAGTCCAGTCAAGTGCCCCGCACTAAGCAGTCCCCTCTGGCGCCCGTCCTTCCCCGGGTGGACACAGTGAGCCTCCTGGCACCTGCCTGTTTCATCTGCCCCGCGACGGGTGAGCTGGACTGGACTCCTCCTCCCGGCCCCTCCCGAGGTCGGGCCTGTCCCCACCCCGGGCCCCAAGGGACAAAGGCCGATTTGTGGGCAGGAAGTGCCCCGTGACAGATAAACCTCCTGACAGCCACTGCTCCCCGAGTCCTGCGCTAATGGGGCTACTCACCCCCATTCCTCCCCCACCCCCCAGGCCGGTCAGGTGGAGCTCAGGGGACTTAGGGTGCCAGGCCACTCTCCCGGTTGTCCCAGGGACCATCGGTCAAAGCATTTTCTGCCCGGGCTATTTGTGGGTAAGCCTGGCCCCCGCTGTCACCAACTCCCCGAAAATAACTGTTCCTCCTCTAGGATATTTGCCTCAGGACCACGTGGGCGTCAACTTCCCATAGGCATGTGCCTGGGGGTTCCTTTTGACTCTCCTCTTGCGGGGGGTGGGGGGGGGTCCCAGTGGGAAATCCAGCTAAGGTTCACACAGGTGTTCTGTGGCCTGGAAGGGTGGAACTGGTTCTGGAATTCCCAGGAAGACGGAAGAAGACCGTGTGTGTAATTGGGGGGAGGGTCATCACCCCTGAAGCCTCCTATATCTGGTTATTTGTAGCTCTATTGCTGACTGGGCTTTTTCATTGCCTAAGCTCATGACATCTTAACGGTCTCCATTTTGCAGAGGGGGAAAATTGAGTCTATGGTTGAGCTAGGACTTCTCAGTTCATGCCAGAGGAGGGAGGCATTGGAGAGGTCCTGACTCAGCTTGGGGGAGGGGTTCCAGCTGTTCCAAGGCACAGCATCCTTCCCAGGGCGTTGGCATTACTTGGGACCCTGAGGCCAACTGGAGTGACCCACGCCTCCAGGGCAGCCTCTCTTGGAGATGTTTATATTTTTCAGGCAGGGTGACAGGGTAATGAGAAGAGGGAAGCCATGGATTCATGGGTCTGGGTTTGAATCCCAGCTCTTCTGCTTTTCCATCTTCTCGCTGTGTGACTTTGGGCAGCTGGCTTCATCTCTCTGGGCCTCAGTTTGGCTCCTGTAAAACTGGCCCAGGAAACACCCTTTCTTGAAAGGGAATTCAGTGAAGCTGAATGCCACAGTGGACACAGAGCACTTAGCACATTTCTGGGTGACTGTCTTGGTTTGTAAATGGGGTTGGAGTATGATCAAGTGGGGAGGAGGGTGCTGGGATGGTGTCTGGACAGCCTAGCCTGGGAGACACCCACATGCACCCCTTAAGGGCCATTCTTTTTTTTTCTTTTTCTTTTTTAAGATTTTTTGTTGATTTTTAGAGAGAGAGGAAGGGGGAGGGAGAAATATCAATGTGAGAGAGAAACATTGATTGCAATCTGTGCATGTGCCCTGACAGGGAATCAAACCAGCAACCTTTGGGTGCTCAGAATGACTCCCAATCAACTGAGCCACATTGGCCAGAGCAAAGGCCATTCTTCATTCAGCGGTAACTCACAGAATGCCTATAGCCCCTGCATTTCCAGAATGGGGGAGAGGCCTCAAAGAAAGACAGTGATAAAATAATTATACGTTGGGTCAAGGACAGGGGAGAAAGTTGAGGGGAGCAAGACCAGCCTTTTCTGGGGCAAAAGAGGCTACTGGCCTTTTCCTGGGCACGAGATTCACATGAAAGTAAGGACAGAAAAGGACACACAGCTTCAATTAAAAGCAGACAAGTGTGTGTGGGGGGGCAGCTCTAAAGCACCATTGGGTGTGTCCCAAAACTCAGGACAGGCCCCCGACATTGTCCCAGGTGGCAGCTGCTCCTGCAGCTCCCTGCTCTGTTCTCCCAGGTAGAGGCAATAGCCTCACCCTGGGCAGACTAAGAAGGGCCACTCTGTGGTGACATGCTGCTTTTACTGTTGTTTTTTTTCTTTAGGGTTTGGTCCTTTTGGGGAGCACACCGTGAACGCCAGCTGGATTGCAGTACAGGTAACTTAGATACGAAGGGTAGGAATCAGTCTTGGGGCTGGGCTCCCGCTGGCAATATTTGGCACCAAAGAAAGGAAGGAATCTACAACGAGAATATCTCCTGTGAAGCTTCCTGTGAAATATTTCAGTCTGATGTACACATCTTCCCAGATAGCAACTGTTATAGCTTACATGTGTTGAGCACCACTCTGGGCCAAGTGTTTTCTGCAGCCCAGCACTCTGAATTTTCCTAACAACTCCTACATGGTTAGGAGCAGTTATTCCTGCACTAACTTTACAGATGAGGAAACTGAGGCCCAGAGAGAATTATCTGAAGTCACGTAGCTGAAAAACCTGGAATGGCATTGTCTCAGAAGTGCCCCACCCCCCAACCATGTTTTGGGAGGACCAGGTAGGGATATTGGGAGATGTGTTACCCTTGGGGTAGGTGCAGTGACCCTCACTGGTACCTCCCTGCAGCTGAGGGAGGAGAAGTCTGCATATTGGTGCAGGGGGGGTGGGGGTGGG